GCAGGAATCAAGATATCCAAACACTCCCCCCTGCCATGTTACTTATTTTATACTGCAACTTTTCTGGTTATGACTATATGTAGCTTCCATTGTGATTTTATCATTATTGATTGTAGAACTTGCTTGGAAATTGCAACCAAAAGGACATGATCTGATGCAGAGGCCAATCCTAGTTTAAAGCATGATAGATTAATCAAGGAAGTTGATCTACTGGTACTGCAATGGTGTGTCAGTACTTTGTGTTGAGCCATGCAACTTGCCAAAATTATGCAGGGGTGCTGTGAATATGCAGTAACTTGCTAGTTAATTAAGAAAATCATGTCGACAAAGATAAATAATGTATCTCTCAGAAGAATTTCGCAACAGCTTCCCTGCGTCTACTCTTCGAAGAAATTTGAGGTGTGGAAAAATACCGTTGAAAATTGATGTTTTCTTGGAGTTGGGTTCCAGATGCCACCTCCTCTAACCTGCACTACCTTTATTTGTTTTTTTACAAATTCGTTGAAAGACAGAATCGGGTGTTTAGTGTGAAAATCTGACTGAAAAAGAGGGTTTAAAAAAAAAAAACTGTAAACAAAGTCGTGTTTCATCTTTTCGAGGTTGAAATTTTGGCAATTTGGCTTTGCTTGTTGAGAGTTGCAAAGAATATTGAAGCTTGATGTAGCTTTTCACTTTATTTGTTGCATGAGAGGAGTGAGTGTCTAGCATCAATATGCTTTGAACTGGCTCCTTTTCCACATTAAGACTGCCATCATAACCCAGCTCCTTACTCATCAGACCATCCCTTCCTTTTTGATGCCAAGTGGGTCAGTCAAGTGCTATTCCACCATGTGGATCTGTTTCTCCTCATCCTGTTCTTAGCCCATAATCTGATACACGTACGCCATTAAACTACTTCGTGGCTCATATTCCATGCGGGTTTGGTCTGCATGAGAATTGAGAAAAACAGCAAAGCCACCATGTGAATGAATTTATGGTCTTTGGCAGGTAGTCCTTGTTCATTACCATATGCTCTGTTGAACCAGTAATAATCTGTGAACTGCTAACCCTTTTGTCTCATATATAGTGAGATCTGACCATGAGAATCAACCATCTACTTCACATGTTTGATTTTCTGACTCGAAGAGGTAATGGAGTATCCATATAAAATAGAGGCCAGCTGATGAAATTGATTGCATAAATGGGAGAAGGGACAAAACAAAGAATTGCATCGGATAGGGGATACGCTGTAAGAGTTACTGCCAAGATGATTCATTCATCAAGAACATAGACTGGAGGGAATGGAAATATAGTCTCTGCTAGTCCTTAATTTACTACATGAGATCACGATATCTTCTTTGCAAGTATTTTGAAGCCATGGCAGGGAAGAGCATCATTTTCGTACTCATATTTTCATTCCATACATATATGGTCGTCCGGTATCAGAATCTGGCAAAATTAACAGGCCATCTTCGGTGGAGGAAAATGTATACAAATCCGTTCCATAAATGATCCATGGCTGTTATGAAGTTACGCATGACAGTCTGGCTACACTAGTTGCTGGCAGCATTAGATTTTGGGAAAATTCTTCAATACAGGATTATTATACAAATCACCACCCAGACAAATTAATCTGGGTTTCCCTTTCATGGGATCTTGAAACAACCCAGGATTCATCCGTTGCAGCATGGTAAATGACATCATTTTGTTTGCAGGAGAATCGTAGGAAATGACATCATTTTTGTACGATCCAATGGATATGGGTGGCCCATGGTCCTTTATAGCCTAAGAAAGAGGAGTCAAAAGAGAATGAGAGACAGCTTGAGTGTGTATGGCAAGGGAAAAAAAAGAAAGAAGGAAAGGCATTCCCTATGCTCGATAAAGTCCATATTCGATACTTTTACTGCTTTTATTTTTCTGTGACTTGACGCCATGAAATTTGTTAAAAAAGCATTCAACAGCTAATTTGGAGAACACTTCAGAAAAGGCTGTTCGAAAAGAGAGAAAGTGAGATTTTGTTGGGCATAGGGCTCTCCAGGATTCTGCGACCACGTAGTTATTCACATATGGTGCCCAAAAATATTTTTCTTTTCCTTTTTAGATTAAAAATATATTTTTTACCGTTTTAATATTAATAAAAATCATGGCCTCACATCGTCTTTTTCTTGCAAGATTATTGGTACGATGATGTATATTATTTTTTTAAAATATTTTTATTTTAAAATATATTAAAATATTTTTATTTTATTTTTTAAAATTTATTTTCGACATTATTACACCAAAATAAATTAAAAACATGTAAAAAAGTAAAATAAATTTTAAAATATTTTAAAATATGATTAAAAACACCACCTTAAACTTGGTATCCGGGGCCTTTACTTTTGAGTGCATTTGTTTTTATAGTAACTTTTATGATTATAATTTTAAAAAATAAATTTTAAAAAAATATGGTTAATTGAATTTAGATATGTATTTGGTAAAAAATACAGTTGAAATTTATGCACATCAAAAAATATATATAAAATGTTTGGTTATGGTTGTTTTTCAAAAGTGTTTTTTTTATTTGGAAATATATTAAAATAATTTTTTTATTTTAAAAAAATTATTTTTGATATCAGCAAATCAAAATGATCTAAAAATATTTAAAATTTAAAATAAAAACAATAAAAAATTTTAAATTTTAAAAAGATACTTTTGAAACACAAAAATAAATAAAATTCTACAAAACTTAGTTAAAAAAATAAATAAAAACTGTTTTATAAAAACCGTGTTTCAAATTTAATTTTTTAATGAGTCCTATAATATAAAATGTAATTTAGTATATTAGCAAACCCTTAACTATGTTTTTTGCACCACAAATATAGAAGCTAGAAGCAAGTGCAAAACAAACAGAACCTAATTCTATACTGTATCCTGGATAATAGATATGATGTATAAAATCAAAATAAAATAATCTCAACGGATAATAAATTTCGAATTCTTATTCTTGTAACGAGTGAAGAGAGTGTAAGAGAAAGTTTCATTGAATAAACAAATTACAAGCGACTGACAATAGTTCAAGGAAACTAAATAAAGTTAATTATTAATTGTGTAGATCGTCTTGTGATCGAGAGTACGTGAGACAACTTTATTCGGTGAATTATAAGTTACTTCTTATAATTTAAAAAATAATAAATTAATTCTCATAATTTTAGAAATTATATATTTAATTTCTATGTTTTTATATCTTTTGTGTCGTATTTTATTTTTTCTTGAAAAAAAGAGAGAAAGAAACCGAACAAGGGAAAGA